ACCAATATCAGCATGATAACTTCACCATTAAAGCCAATATCAGCATGATAACTTCACCATTAAAGCCAATATCAGCATGATAACTTCACCATTAAAGCCAATATCAGCATGAAATTTAGCACAATTGTTGATATTACACTTTCCCATAGCTTGATTTGTTTTTGTGTTTTTAATCTTTACTAATTTCGAATTGGATGACGAGGAACCCACTTTGAGACTAATAGTGCTTGGAGATGGCTTGAATGGATAATGAAGAAAAACTTTAATATAAGTTTAACATAACAGCAAATGTACATTCAAGCTGTCTCCAAGCATCTTTACCATCTGTCTTGTTATGAGTCTAATTACCACTAACGAAGGCACTAATTGAAATTAATTTCCCATATCTCGTTAACGTTGCAGATAATTTTCAAAGTTTTTAATTCAAGCTATGAGGATGTTTACAAAGAGCATGTGTATCAATTTTCACATTTATATCATTCCTAATTAATGTTGTGGTGTTAAAACAGTTTATGTTATGTATTTCTTTATCTCTGCCACATTAATTATGCATATGACATATATGACTGAAAGTGTACTTTCAGAGATTGTGACACCATATTTTTGTTTAGTGCTCAACTTGAAGGATAATAAAAGAAGTGTTTAACAGTGTTTCCTCAACATGTAAAGTTGCCCAGTTTTAAGGGTCAGTGCTACCTTAATACTAATCAAATAGTAGCGAACTGTATAACTGCTCTACGAGTCCCGAATTTCACTTTATAAAGAATTTCAAGAAAACAAACAAATAAAAATAAATTAAAAAGGTTAAATCAGCCATATTAACTATTAATAATGTTATAAAACTAGTGTAAAATGTTATCTACTTTTCACTTTCTCGAATTTTTCAAATAATTTTCATTTGAAATTAAATATACATACATCTTACTCTTAAAAATTTTATTTCTCTTGTAGTAAACAGCTTTTATTACTTATCAGTGTCAGAGAATCGAGCACTGCACGCCATTAATATTGTTACGACAGCGGAAGTCACGCGACCCTGGGAGCATGTGCGCTGGAGTTTCTAGAAGGATCCTGACTTAGCGGGCAACCTCATGAATGTCCCAGCGTTTGCTAGACGCCCTCTTTTGTAGTATATAAG